CCTATATATATTACCCTTCGAATAATAAGTAATAAAGATAACAAATACAATTCAACTCTTCTTATAATACTATATAATTCACCTCATTATTATAATAAAATAAAAAGTATAGGGGTTTTATAGGTATTTTAAAGGATTTACAAATGAAAAGTTTTTGAATAGAATAGATATATAATATAGGTGATTTAAAGAACTTAAAAGGATTGCTTGGAAGATTGCTTGAGGGTTTTAATAGGAAAGTTTAGGGGGGGAAAGGTTTTTATTTCTTTTTTCTATTTACTTTATTTAATTAGAACCATATATAGGCGCATTATATAGTCTTATTATAGTTATATAGATCGAATCGATTATGAATTTACTACTACTACTATTATATAATTAGAAAAAGCAACAAATAATATATATATAATATATATAATATTTATAATAATATTATAAAATTCTTATTTTTATAACAAATGAATCAATACTTTTTTATATTTGATGTTATTATTATAAAAAATAGATTATTAAAAAGCTTTTATTTTAATTTATATAATTATTTACTTTATTATTTATTATTTAGGTGAATTACATAGTATTATAAGAAGAGTTGAATTGTATTTGTTATTCTTATTGCCTACTACCCGAAGGGTAGTATATATAGGGATTTTAAGTACCTATAGGGCTCTTACCAGGCCCGAAAAGGCTTGGTTTCTCACTATGTTATATGATATATTATATAAGCGTGACCTTCGGCCCCGGCCGGGATTCCCCCGGAACTCCACATTCTTCACATTATTTAATTTAATTAAAAGAGTTTTATTAGAAGATATAGTTTTTGTTTTGATTATTATATTATATTATAATATCAAGAAAGTCAAATTAATTAGGATATTTAAATCGAATTTTATTAAAGAAGAGTTTCTTATTTTTTATATGTATATAGTTTTAATTCTTACAGACGATAAGATTATTGAGAAGGTAAATCTTTAATAAAAAGATTCTTAAATTTTATAAGAATATAATAAATAATTGAGTACTAAACAATAGATCTTGGTTAAAAAAGGATAGTTAATAATGTAATAAAACTAGTTTATAAAGAGTTTCTTATTTTGAAGTAATTAAAGATTATTAATATAATACTTCTTTCTAATATTCTAGTCAGAATTATAATGAATATTAAAAAGGATATTAAATCGATCATTCTACTTTCGGGCCACCCCTATTTTAAGCCATCTTTTTACACCAAAAATCGCTTTTTTAGTCTATTAATATCTCTATAATATATAATCTAATTTAATAAAAATTTGAATATATATAATTTAAATCATTTTAAGCTTATTCTGAGATTTTGAAATTTTTAGGAATTTTCTGTATTGAGATTTAGAGCTTTAAAATATCGATTTTTTAATTTTTATAAGAATTATATATAAATTTAATTTTTTTATAAAATCTTTAATAACTTTTTAATAACAATTATTAAAAGAAAACTATTTATCTTTTTGAAAGTTTTGAATTTAAATCTAAAAAAAAATTAATAAAAAAATTAAAAAAAAATTAATAGATATAGCACGATATAGAGATATAATATATAATAAGTTTAGAATAGTATAAATAATCCCTATAATTTTGAGAGTATTCTTTAAATATCTATTTATAGGAAATTTTCTTTTTTTTTCTGAATCTTTCAAAGTAAATATGTTATAAATTTTTAATAAATTTTTATAGTTTATTTTTAGTAATTTTTAATAAAAAGTTATTAAAGATTTTATAAAGGTTTCAAATTTGTATGTGATTCCTATACAAATTTAAAAATCGATATTTTTAAAGCTTTAGATCTCAATACAGAAAATTCCTAAAAATCTGAAATTTTCAAGGTAAGCTAAAAATGATCTAAATTATATATATATAAATTTTCAATAAATTCTATTCATAAATAAGAAAGTTAAAAATTCCATTTTTGATGTAAAAAGTGGCCCAAAAGGAAAGTGGTCTGAAAGTAGGGTACCCGACTTAGTGTATGTATTAATAAACCACGTTATAGGTTTGTAGAGGGCATTGTGTACAGGTGTTGAATCTTCGCCCTCCACGAGTAAATATAGAATATAAATAAAAAGCTAAAGACTTTGAAATAAATATAATACCTAGATACTCATTCAATACCTAAATAAGTAATAAAATAAACAGAATATACTTCTCCGAAAATACGCTCTGCTCCAAGAGATACACAAGATCGAATTCTCTGACTAATTCTCATCCTCTCTCCCTCATATCAGAATACACATTCTGGAATATCGATAATCCCTAGTGGTAACCCCCCCGAGCCTCCATACATACTCCATCCTTTCCAGTGAAATGTGAGTGCGACCCAAAATATGTCACATGAGAAGTATTTATTCAGTCGGGTCCATCTCTCCACCTTTCGTTCGTGCTGGGTAGTATCGGCAAGTCCGGTTGGATCGCATAACACGGAAAACGGAAAATGGGCAATGGATCTCGGAGTTTGGGGTTAGAGGTGGGTGGATTGGTGTTGGTAGATCATGTGTAGGATGGTGGGTAGAGATGGTGAGAGTTTTTACTGTTTGTGCAGATTTAGGATATGGGTTCGATGTTGTGCTAAGGTTTCGTAGGGTTCTCACTCGGTGTTATTGCACTGCCTACTATGTGTTTATGGTGAGTGTTCAGGGTATTTATTAGTAGTAATTAGTAGGTACTGTACTTGGGAAATATGCAGGATATCGGCGTGGCGGGGTTGGATTATTTATGGGTGGTTTGTACTTGTACTTGTGGGTTGTGTAGTGAAGCATTGTGGAGGATTGGTTGATTGGGTATTTTATTATATTATATCATATCATATCATATCACATCAAATGCATCATTCCCCAAACAAGTACTTCGTACACACAATACTCGTAAATCATTGAATATATTCGTGTGGGAAGAGACACAGGATTGCGCATTGGTTGGAATACTTGGTACCGAGTTGGAAATGCTTGGAATAGGAATTGATAATGGAAATTTCTACCTAATGGCCTATCAGTGGGTTTGAAAAAAGGCCAAGTACCAGGTATGTAGTGTGTAGTATGAAAGATGTAAGATTGAAGATGTGAGGATGTTACCAGTGGTTGGAATACGAGGTTAAGTTGCAACTCATAAGACATGTGAGATTGGGATGGATGAGGTGGATGAGGTGGATGAGGTGGATGAGGTGGATTGGTGATGGATCTTGGGGTGATGGATAGGGGAGGGAGAGAGGGTTGATGGAAATGGTGTATGGTGATGTAGATAGCGATAGCGATAGAAAGATTGAGAGAGAAATCAAGACGAGTTGAAAGAGAGGAAAAGAAAGAGAAAAGGAAGAAAGATTCCAATCAACACTTTGTATTTGATATAAAGTACTTTCAAGATCTCTCTCTGTCCTTACTTCCATCCTTTGCCTCCTTAAAGGATGAATCAAACCCCCAACTGAGACCTCGGTCAAGAATACCTAGTCCTTGAAATTGGCAATTTAAGGGAATGAGTATCATCAAGATATCATCCATCATCAAGATGCACAACATAATCATCAATCAACAATTCAAGAACCGATATCTGTCGAGAAATGAAATCCATATACGTCGAGAGAAGAGAGAGGATGGAAGATTTATATAAATAGGTTATTGAGCACTCGGTATGTATGGGAAGACTCGTAGAGAAAATTCTATATATAGATCTACTTATTAGACAAGTCAAATACTCCGTGTACTAGTCAAAGTACCTAGGTATCTATAGAGGATACTATGTAGATATGCTTGGTGAGGTAACTAGGAAACATTTTATATACTTATGCAAGTCACAGGAAGCCTGAGGGGGAGCTATTTTGGTTAGTGGTGTTGAGTAGAGAAGGGAAACCCTTTTTAACATCTATCAAGTCAAGAATGAAAAAACCCTTGTTACTATTTCTTACTTGGGTAATCTTTCACTGTTGTCACTCTTCAAGTACAGTATCTAGTTGAACTTTCATTTCCATCTTCTCTTTATTATTGACACTCTCTCTACTTTTAATTCTTCTCACTTTACTTCTTAAACCTTGACCCGTAAATAATCTTTCAATCTTTATTCTTCACTTTTTATCCTTCAATCTTCACTCTTCATTTTTCAAACTTCACTTTTTATCCTTCAATCTTCACTCTCCATCCTTCACCCTTCACTCTCAACCTGAACCCTTAACCTTTGATTGACCTTCCTTAAACCTTCTTCCACCAATACCACTGCCACACCACACACCCACATCACACACATCAGGATACAGTACCTTGATCTACGCTCCAATTAAATTACTTCATTGCTTACCACTCTCCACTTTTCGCTTTTTTGAGTTTTGGTTCTCGAATCCATCATTCAGTCATCTGTATCTCTTGATAATAATAATAATAATAAGTGTGCACTGTGTTTGTGTTTGTCTTTGTGTTTGTCTTTGTCTTCTGTGTCTTGTGTGTCTTGCTTATTTATTTATTTTCGCCTTGAGCCTTGAATTGAACCCACATCAGACCCCTTCCTCCTTCACATGATCTAACCTACCTAGTAGCTAGCATTAAACAAAATTTATTCTCTTTCTCTCCTTCATATTCATTCATCCCTCATTCCCCTCGTTCCACATCATTACCTGGACTTTCGTTAAGATCAATCATAAATCAACAATCTAACTAAAACCTTGAGATTATTCTTTTCCTCTTTCACGAAATATTCAACGCCAAATCACATTCACATTCTCATCCATTCTCATTCTCATTCTCACATTCACACTCTCGCTCACACTAATTCCCCCCAAAATTCAAACTTTCCGCATCTATTTGCGACATTTCCACACAATTCCGCCAAGTTTACCAATCAATCAGTAACAAGACTTTAAACATACCATCCATCACACAAAACCCCATCACAAACACTGAAGACAATCTTCTTTCCTTTCCTCACTCCATCTCAACAAATTCTTTCGTTTGGAATCACCGGGGAATCACGATCGATCATCTTCCACAATGTATTCTCGGTCATTAAGATTCTTGTCAGTATTGGCAATTATCTTTGCCATCGCTCAAGCCGGTTGGATTGATCGTGGTGTCTTTAATCGACGAGCAGATAGCACTGGTGCCTTATCATCAGGAGGTGGGAGTAGCAGTGCCGCTACCAGTGCTGGAGGAAGCGCAGCAGATACAGATACTACCACCGCAGCACCAACACCAACACCATCTGCCACTTCAACCACTCCAGCAGCAAAACCCAGTGAAACTTCAGCTGCTCCCACCACTCCAGCTGCTCCCACCACTCCAGCTGCTCCCACCACTCCAGCTGCTCCCACCACCCCAGCTGCTCCCACCACTCCAACAGCTACATCAGCAGAAGCTACAACAACTACAGCACCTACAAGCTCAGCAACAACTGCAGTATCTGTTCCTGAATCAACATCTTCAGCAACTACAGCAGCCCAAACGACTGCAGCTCCAACTCCCAAAGATACTCAAACTACGCAAACAACTGCAACGAAAACCTCTAGTACCAAGACTAGCAAGACTTCTTCCTCTTCATCATCAACCGTTCAATCTACCACGATCTCCGAAGTCACCATTACCCCATCCGCAACTCGAGTCGTCGTAACCGTCTATTCAACATCAAGTGGAAGTACTATTATCTCCGAGTACACTACTTCTACTACTCCTGCCGCATATACTACTACAACCGCTGTTCCTATTAGTGATTCCTCATCTTCCTCTTCCACGGGTATGTCAACCAAGACACGTAATACCGTCATTGGTGTCGTAGTTGGTATTGGTGGAGCCATCCTGCTCGGAGGATTATTCATCGTCGCATGGAGAATCTGGGGACGCAACAAGAAGGAAGATGAGAATGATGGATTGATGGGAAATTACGATCCAGTATCTGCCGGTCACGAAATGAAGAATGAAGGTGGTGCTGTACCCAATCCTTTCCAAACTACTTTGGAAGGTTATCATCAACCCGGAAGAGGAAATGTTTCGGCAAACTTTTAAATGATGATTTCCTGATGTTTTAGTTTCTGGGAGGACACTCTTTGTTGTTTCTTCCTTGATGAAAAATCACTTTGCTGTATATGTCAGATGGATATGGGATCGCATTGCATTGCATGTATGTGTGCATGATGGATAGGAGATTGGAGTACATTGGTCAGCGAGTCAGAGATTATTCATCTCTTTTTTTTTCCCCCTTCGAGTTTTCGCAATGGGATATCTAGGTGGTGTGGTACAGTGACATTTAAGATGGAATGGAATTCCTCACTGGTATACACCAACATTATTAGCATTTTGAGTTTTTGAGTTTTTGAGTTTTTGAGTTTTACAAAAAGCATCCGTATGCCTTCCATTCATTTTTTTTACGGCCTGAGTTTTACAGCATTTATACATATTAATGGCATGGTTTTTTTTGCATGTTGGGGGGGGGGGAAGGGAGGAATGAATGGTGTGGTGTGGGTCGATGGATGGATGGATGAATGGATGGATACCTTTGATGTATGGATGTGAACGTGAATTGAGAGGGAGGGGGAAGTGAGAGGGGGAGAGGGAGGGAGAGTGAGAATTAAGGAAATCTAGTTAGACACTAGATAGGTACTTGGTTGATTAGGTAGATGGGAGATGAAAAGAAACCTTTTAATTTATTGCAAACGGTATTTTGTGTTGTGACATCGTGTAGTATGACATAGCACAGCATATCATGGCGTAGTATGGTTCACCATAGCATCGCATGGCGTCGTATGATAAAGTATATCACAGCGCAGCAAAGTGTAGTATACCCAGGTAGTAAATGGTGCTTCAAGGGGAGTTGAGGAGGTGGAATTGACATGAAACTTTGTAACTATGAATGTTATATGGGTGTGTATATGAGTATATATGAATGAGTATGTCTGTATGTGTCTATGTATGTCTGTATGTGTCTATGTATATCTATATCTATATCTATATCTATATCTATATCTATATCTATATCTGTGTGTGTGTATGTGTATATGTATATGTATAATAATAATGATTTCAAGACTTTTTATTTTTATTTTACTAATAGTAGGAGATAAGAGATAGGAGATGGGTATTATTTTATAGTTGGTTTGTGTGAAGTATGAAGGGGTATAAGGGGATTAGGCTGCGCAACGGGTACCCGCGGGGCGGATAATGGCCTCGACAGATAATCCACAAATAATTCATCTATAAAGCAAATAATTCAGAATCTAGACAAATAATCCATAAATAATCCACAAATTATCTACGAATTATCTATATATTCATAAATAATCCGTATATCTACAAATAAGTAAATTATCCGCAAATATACGAGTGATTTGTAGATAATCTACAGATTATTTTGAATAATTTATTATAATATAAGATAAGATAAAATAAGATAAAATTAAAAATATAAAATAATTAATACATTATACTAATTTTTATATTAATTACTTTACTTATAATTATATATTTATTACATATTATTATATATTATTAAAAAAAGTAGAAATTATTATATAAATAATATTATTATAAAATATTATTAAATAATAATATTATTAATTATATAATTTTCTTAATAATATTATTAATAAATTAGATTATTTTATTCGATATTAAAACTACTTCTACTACTATATATTTTCAATATATTTAAATATAAATTATAATTCCCTATTAATATAAAAGTAATTCATTATTATTTTCTATAAGCGACATACAAGTACTATATCCTTCACTTAAATAATTATTTATTTTATATAAATAATATATAAGTTTGTCATTAATAATTATTAGCTTTTTATTAATAAATAAGTATAAAAATCTATTTTCAAATTTAATTATTATAAAAAATTCTACAATCTTTTATAAAACCTTTAAAATTAAGTTTTAAATTTAAAAGGAATTATAATTATATATAATTTTTTTTATTAATTAATTAAATAGTAATTTTAAAATAAAAAGTTCTATTGATTTTTAATATTACTAAATTTCTCAAAGTATAATAATTATATATATTTTAAAATCTTATATTAATCATTATATTAATTATTTAATTTATTGTCAAATTTAAATCTCCTTTTCTTTTTGTTTATATTATGAATATATGATTTTTTAGTTTGTGACTACATTTTCGTATTATTTAAAGTAAATCGGATTATACCTAGCTTTAAAAGAGGCATATTGTATTTCACTAAGAGATTAATAGCTATTTGAAAATAAATTAGAGTGATTTAGCTTACTAATATTAATTGTAGTATAAATAGCTTAGGAATATTAATAAAAGAAAAATAGGCTGAAATATGAATATAATAAATTAGAAATTAAAAAAAGTAATATTTAAACGAGAATTAAACCCTTACTTTAAAAATAAGTAAATATGTATTTAATATCTCCCTACTTTTAAAGACTTTAATTTATTTTAAGCCTTTTCAATCTCTAATATTAAATTAAATTTTTATATTAATCTTTATACTAATAATTTAATATGCCTTTTAAATATAAAGTTTCTATTAAATTATCTAATAACCCTTATATTATTAAAGCTCGAAATTGATTAAATAATTAAAATGAATTTGAGATTCAAATCGAAAAAGCTAAAGTAAATGATTAAATAGTAATCACTTATTAATTGAGTGCTATTCATTAATTAAGTAAGTAAATCTAAATAAGTAAGTTCAAGCAAGCTCATATAAAAAAATGAATTAAAAATGAAATGATCTATAAGCAATAAGCTAGAATAAGCTTAATCTTTTTTTATTAATATTAATTTTGATTTTATTAAAAAGATAATAGATATTTATATATTAATTATTATATAAAGATTAGGCTATAAAAATAAGGAAGGTTAATTTGTATAAGCTTATAATGAAAATAATAATTTTGAAGATTGTAAAGAAAACAATAAGGCTTTTTAAGAGTGAATATAAAGAAATGATAATAAGTGTAATAAAAAAAGGTTTATTGATTTTAAAAAAGATAAAGAAAAGTAAAAGTAAAAGCTTTTTGTTTATAATATTAAGATATATTGACTCTTATAATTTTTACTTTTTTATTATTAATTTATTATTTAGAAGTATTGAAATCTTGAGTTTCGTTTTTAACAAAAAGCTTGAAAGTAGATAATAAAAAGCTTTCAAAAAAAGTATAATAAATTAAATTGAAAAGAAATTGATTATTTAATCTTTTAGGGCTTTATATTGATTATAAGATTAGATAAATTAATCTTCTTTTATACTAATTTTTATATTAATTATTAATTATTATATAGTAAATATTATAAGATTATTCTACCTTATAAATTCTTTACCTCTTATAAATTGATGCTATAACGAAATCTTTATGTGATTCTCAATACTGAATATGAAGAGGAGGATTCAGATTGGATATAGCTACTAGGCTCTAATAAGTGATATATAGAGAGCTACAATCTTGAAGAATATAGATTTTATAATCTATTAAAGAAAGACAAGGAGTGTTACGACGGTATCCAACATACCGCGTCACATGGTCAAACGGTCACGTGATGGACCTAGAGGATCTAGGGGATCGAAGAATAAATATCTAGATCTATAAGATTCAAAGGATTTAAGTAGAATAAAGTTTCATAATTCTGTAGAGAACGAAGGTCTATATAAGGAATAGGGTTTCTTTATATATAAAGCTTTATGCTTAAAAACAATTATTAGTTTTATTACTATAATTATGAGAATTATAATTAATTACAACCTTATTGAATTCCTACTTAAAATCTAATCTAAATTACCTCGAGAGATCTTTAGACATTTTTACATGATCCTAGAGGCAGCTCCCGTAACAAGGAGTTATATAAAGGTATATTGTTTTTATTAATGTATTTTAAAGATTCTATTCCTTAAGATTATCAACATATCAATTTTATATATAATAAGTTTTATTTAATAATTAATACAAAGCTATTCTTTAAATTTGATATATAAATAGCTTACTAATCTCAATATTAATCATATCAATTCTTACTATATCGATAAATAAAGCTATAGCAATATACACCTTTATTATTCTTTATTTAAAATAATTACTTTAAATCTAAAGTTAATTAGTAATCTTTGTAGTATTAATTTTCAAAATGATTTTTCTATTAAGGAAAATATTTCAATAAAAGTTTTTACTTTATTCCTTTCAATTATAAATTTTAATTAAGCTTATTTTATTTTCAAATTGAATATTAAACAATTGTTTTTACAATAATAATGATAATTATTATAATATAAATTCAAAGCTTTAAATAATATTAATTTATATAAAATGATTAATTGGAAGAAGAATAAAAGAGCGTGAATATAAAAGTCTTTTTAGTAAGGGGCTAGAATCTTAAATAAATAATCTGATATAATTTATCGAATTTATGAGAATATACTTATTCATTTTAATGTTTGAGGTAAGAATATAGGAACTATATCTTTGATTAATTATTTAAAATCTAAGATATATAAAAGGGTTGTAGGTTTTATATAAAGCTTTTTATTATTTGAAATAAATTATTCTAATTAATATAAAAATTAATGTAAATATTAATTTAATTAATAATATTTATCAAAAGCTTTAATAAAAGAAGAATTTAATAATTAAATACTTTCTATTATTATTTCTTTAAAAGCTCCTTTTCAAGCTATAGAAAACTCTTAATAAAGAGCTTTATGCTTAATACAGAATCTACTTTTTCTATTACCTTTAATAATAATGCTTTGAAATCGTTTTAATGAATGTATTCTTTTTTTTGAGTCTATTATTTTAATTTACCTTTCTAATCATTTAAAATATATAATTACTTTAAATTACTAGTTAAGTCTAATAAGAAATTCATTTATAAATATCAATTATTACTTTATTAATCAAGATTAAAATATGAAATATATTCTTATTAATTTTAAACCTATTTATAAATCTTATATTAATCAATACCTTAAAGATATTCTTCTAAATATTTTATGAAAGTTTGATATTATTGAAAGAGTTTATATAATAATTATAGA